AATGTCTATGTTATAGGTAACTGATTAAGATTCACTGTCTCTATTAACTTGCAATCAAGTCCTCCAACAACATATAAATTATCATTATAAAAATGTCCCAAAGGTGTCCCTATTCTCCATTGTTGCATTCTTAAACCAAATTTTCTTTTCCATGAAAATAGTTCAACACACTTTGAGTAGGCGAAAACCTCCAGCAACCAAAATGTCATCTTTTATTAAGTCCATAATTAATTTGACTTGTAATGTCAACGTTGAGCAAATTGCTTTACATTAATATTTTCCAAAATTTGAAATATCATTGCTTTCAATTTGTCCATTTCATGGGAAGATTCAATCAAAACGTTATCCCAATATTTGGCAGTGAATTTTGACCACTTTAATATTGGATTGAACACCTTTCCTCTCCAAGTTCAATACTTGACCAAGTCTCTAAATGATCGTGATTGTTCTTGATCTTCACACAATAAACTGATATAATAATGGTTGAAAAGAATGAGAGACTGCATCTTTTCTATTCTTTGAGATTTTTTGAATATTGCTCTCAAGCCACCACCAATAAAAACAGAGAACATTTCATGAACACCATCCAATTGATGCAGCCTTTTGAATAAAATATACACAAGTCAATGGCATTCTCCGGTTTCAGGACATTCAAAATATTTTCAAAGCATGCATTCAGCAGTCGAATACATACGATGTTTTTAATCGTTTGACTTTTGAATTGTGTAGGACTGGATTTTAATAAACAAAGGATGGAAGAGAAACATTAAGGTTTCATAGATATCACTGGTGTTGGTATTGAATGGATTGGTATTTAAATCACCAAAATGATTTGATATTCGACCATCTACGAAGTGACCACAATATCTTTTGTTTCTTTTTAAAATAACACATAAACTGAACACAAATGCTTTAATTTCTTCCATAACTTGTATAGAAGATTAATTTGCAAGTTCTCTTTACAATTGCTTAATGATTAATCTCCAAAACTCAGCTGTAGACCAATCAGCAGACGCGTTGTATTGCATTTTTATGTATCATTATGATTATGGAAAATAATAATGTAAGAAACGCATGGCAATGTTGTGAATATTTGTTTTGGGAAGAAATCACTGTAATCTTTCTTTAAATAAACTTGTACAATGGTGAGTTTTGCATATTATTACATATATTGAATCATCCTCAGGATTTAAATAAAGAAGACCTATAGAGTATTTTTAATTTTCGTGCATGTGTACTTCCAAATATGGACAGATTTAATATCGAATTAACTTTGATATTACCCCAACCTTACCAAAAGCTAACCATTGACTCGGTGTCCGTGTTTAAAAATTTTAATGTTGATATTTGTAAGTAATATTTTTCAATTTTAATACCTTGACTTCGCTCTAGTCTGGCCCTTGCACTCCGCGATAGATCAAAATAACTCAAACTTGGAGGAATTCTTACTTCGTTTTGCATAGAAACGTAAAGGACGTTAAACCTACTTATTTTGAAACAATATTTAGCTCTTTATTTCATCAAAGGCCGGGTTAATGTAATTTCACCCATAATTCATTATTGTTTGAGATCAATGAATGACACTTGTGCATGGTACGAACGACGTAAAAATGGATTATTACAAACGGACTTTGCAACCGATAATTTCAGTCTATGGCGGTCGAGATGTAACTTTATTATATTGCAATTTTAAATGGAGCAAGTGGATGGTTGTATTTAGATGTTGAGTACTTTATTGTTTTTTAAAAGTGGCTCATGTCTCAATATCATTTTTTATTCTTCTAAGAAATTTCACATCTCCTCAAATATTTCTAATCACAACAAAATTTGAACTGTAATAAACTTGGTTGACCAAGCTACTTAATGATGTTTCTTTTGTGGGTGTAATTCCTGGATGTAATGGGCTAACATTTTTAAGTCGGGGAGCAATCTAAAACATTTTCAATTTGAAATGGCTTGTTCTACTTAAACTTTCTCTCACAATGTGCCCTACCATGTTTTAGGTGCCTGCTCCCACCTAATATGCATATGGGAATACTTAGTCATGTTTGAACTTTGCACTCAGTCAACTGCTCTTATAAACTTAACCATTTCCTCAATCTCCCTCCCTTAAAAAAGAATACTATCTATCATAGAAAATTCATCTGTGAATTGGCCTTTTTCTTTTAGGCACTTGGTATACAAGTTGTCCTAACCTTGATGGTGGCATTGTTTCTTCACAAATTTTCACCATATATGTCTGGCCACTTGGTTATTATGCAGTGGGTATGTTGTCTCAGGTGTTTGTCTTTGACATTTTTGTTGTAATTTTACATATGTCTTTCCTTAGATTGGTACGTCATGTACCACCCTCTGACACAGAGTTGAGAAAACCTTGGTAAAACACAAAGAACAAAGTCAAATAAAGCTAAGCGCTCTGATGCAAGGTATTAATTATAAAGATTTGTTTTCACATTTTGTCGTTGCATTTCATTGTTTTTTTACATTGTTATATTGCTACACTTTGGTACATTTTATGATATATTTTGACATTTTATATGGCCTGTACAGTATGATATAGCTTTTTCAATATATCTTACCTTGTATATTATTTCACTTTTGTTTTAAAATTATCTTCATGTGAAGAATGGTCCAGTCTGGCTTGGCAAGATTTCCCCAAATGAAGCAGTTTCTCCTCATTAAAGGTCTTATTTGAAAGCATAAAATGGGCTTGCCTGGCTTAACTGGGCTGGAAGTGAGGAGACTGTGCATGCTGTTGTTTCACATGTTTATTCTAATATGGCGTAATTCAAAAGCGACAATGATCATTTGATAAGTTTAAAAGTTTTATCTAATTATGCTGCATTGTAGCTAGTAGCATCATGATTGTGGTTTCAAATCAAAAATCGTGGAATGTTCAAGTTTAAACACACAAATATTAGCACAAAATGCAACAAATTAATATTTGAAAATGTTGGAATGTGCAAGTCTAAACACATTTGAACTTTAGCACAAAATGGAACAAGTATTGACAACATTTTAGAAGGGATTGACAACATTTTAGAAGAACCAGCCTGTCTTATACAACTTCAATACATTAGCCTCTGGCAAACTGGCCAGCTCAGCCAAACTGGGTTTTCTTCTTATATGAACAGGCTCTTACAATTGATCTGTTATTCTCTTGTCATCTTGTCCAGGCTAAAATCAACATAAACTAAACACTTGTTATTCATAAACACCGTTAATGTTTCTCTTTTTGTTCTGTAGGAAAAGGAAGAAAATAATGGAGCATCAATTCAATTTATATCTTCTGATTATCCATACCTTGTAACATGAACATTCAACTGAGAACAGTGAATGTAAGATTGCTTTTCAATACCTGAAGTATATTTCAAATTTGTCACATTTTAAAGTGCATATGACCTCATCATGGGGTTTATTAATTCCGACACATCTCAAATAGTGATTTGACAACTTTAAGAAAATGTGCATTTCCAAAGCTCTAGTGGTTCAAAGACATATTTTGAAAAAAATGGGTGAACCTTTTCGGAATGGACAAGAATATATAAATATGCGTTGAACTTATAATACAATATACTTTTCTTGTACCTATGCACTGTTTAAAAAGTTATAAACAAAACATACTTTGCAAAAAATCTATTACAACGCATAACTTACAACATAATTTCTACATTGTTGTTGAAAGTGCATTTCTGGGATCCAGGACTTTGGGTGCGCCGTCGTTTTCTGATCCTGTACCTGGAGTTATATTTTTTGATATTTTTGTATGTAGAAAGTATTGTAGAAGTTGTCAACTAACTTTTTGAGGACTGTTAGAATCAATAGCCCCAAAATGTGGTCATAAGCAGTGTCTCTTGTATCAGTGGTTTATTCAGTCACTGCGTGTATATACAGAGGGGTTGTATTATTGTAAGAATCAAGGGGTAAAGTCTTTCTTGTTCATTGAGCATATGATTTTGAGGCAGGGGATGAGGTTTTGTTTCATTGACGTAAATTATGAATGCGACTGTGATTGATAAACTGTTCAATCAGAAATTGCTTGCCGGAGTTTGAAAAAATTCGGATTTTGTTGCTGTGCTGTCAACATGAGATTACATAACATGAAGTCCTTGTACTAATGAAATCTGTCTTGGGTAGTTTCACGTGTAAGTAATAAAACGTATAATGAAACATGATTTACCTACTTAATACATTGCCATATGTGAGATTACATTGCTGTGAATTTTGTTGTGCAATTTGACAACTATATTATAATACTCAAATATGACCAAACTCTGGTCTCAAGCAGGACGAGTGAACGCCCGATAGACGTCTTGCATGTCTTGTTGCTTGCAGACAACCAAGAATATCTTCATTCATTTACTGGAGGGGTTGTACTTAGCTTCGAAAGCACTATCCACTGCATAATGGCTATTTTAAGTGTTTTAAAATAGGGTTGTTATTGTTTCACAAAATAAAACTATGTTTTCATTGTTATAAGTGTTAAAGGGTTTATTGTATTGATTGTCGTCTTTAAATAGTAGTTTTTCTGCTTTTTAAAGAGACATTTAAAACAAACGTGGTTTTCTTATATGGTGGAAAACACTATCTAACCTTTCTCCCACAAGCTCCAATGACAATAGTCAAAAAATAGCTACATTCCACAACTTTCAACATTGTCTATATGTAATAAAACTCTTGCACCATCCCTCTTTCTCGAGTTATTGAAAGATGACTACCCCCAGTAAATACCCCATTACATCATAACTTCAATCTTTTGGCATAGTAAGTCGATGTGTAATGAATCTTTGTAACGCCCCCTTCTTTTCATGTATTTGAAGATGACTACCCCAGTAAATATGCCATAAGTATTGAAAGTTTCTGAAACTCAATAAATACACTATAAAATTATATTGTAAAACTAACATAAAACACTTTCCCATTAGGTTGATGAAACAGATTTGATATTTCAATGTTATTATACAGAATACAAGTGGCTCGTTGATTTTGCTGTGTCTGCCGTCATATTCAATATCATCATCGAGGGGATTTCGTGTTTATTTCCCGCTCTTTTACGTAACGACATCAGTGTGACGCCATTATGGAATTTCTTGGGCATATTTTTTGCCATGTATCCTTTTTAATGAAACGAAAGGGATCTTAAGCTTGACTTTATGTCAGCCTTGAAAACGAGGTCGGCCTGATTGCTGACTTTCAGTCTTCAAAGTCGGCAAATTTATGCTGACCTTTCATTTTATTGCAGTAAAATCCGCGATATTTTTGTTCATCGTGTACTGTAAAAAACCTTTCTAACTGTTTGAAAATTGAGTTAGACATTGCGCATTCTAAGCACTCAGGCTAATCAAAAGCTCGTCAATTATGAAGGCAAACTGCTATGGTGGAAGTCCGGACATTCGTTTCGTTTTCATTAAGTTTGCAAATTATCAAAATTGTTATCAAAATGTTATCAAATTTTTTTGTGACAGAGAATTGACATTAGAATTTTTTTGCATATTTTTCCGGGCTCTAACTTGGTAACTTGGGTGTTAACTCGACTTATGGATGGTTGGTTCTGTACAAATGCGATATTTTAGGTTAAGTTTGCAACCAAACCTTCCGACATAAAAATTGCCAGCAAAGTTTGGCATTTCTTTCGCCGATCTTACTTTCGTCTTTTCTCGTGCTTCAAGCATTTATGTAAACACTCACGACTGAATTTATATTTTTGAAAAAAATATAGACGGGGGCAAGGACTAAGGGTATGCGGAGCCGAAGATTGTTAATGGTTGGGCCCACCCCCCTCTCAAGCAAAGTACGATCTCTTCTCATTACTAAATGTATTTAGTGTATTGAAAATGCTTGGTATTTTTTGTGACCCTTGCGAAGGTATTTATGTATTTTAAATTCGAGTCCAGCCTTTCCAGAGGTAAATAAACACTACACATGGGACAGTGACCACACCTCCTGTAAGGTTGTTATGCTTTCCTTTACTCTACATACAGACGTGTTTTGTTTCTGCTCACAGCTTCCTATTGGTCGGGTGATGATTCAGGAGAAAAATCTGTCTGCTTGACATTTGGTGTTTTTTTCTTTGTTCTGGCGATGGCCATTTTGGTAGTCGATGAATCTATGTTGGAGTTCAATTTGGACTCGGGTAATCATTTAATTTAGTTCGTAAACTTTTCTCAAATATTTTTTAACATAAATATCACTGAAATGAGCAGAAAACTGTGAAATCATTATACTGCTTTAAATGAGATGTCGTTATTAGATGAGAAAGTGCAGCGAATTATAAAGGATTGGAAGAAAATTATTTTGTGTAGGTTCATTTGGGTCAGATTTGATTTGCTTTTCTCTGAGATTCACTTCGGATCATCTCACATTGATCCTGATTTACAATACTTCGGATTTAAACTAAACTAACTTAACTAACATTCACAGTACGTTAATTCGACTTTGTTTGTTTGCTGGAAACAAATCCTTAAGTCTTGGCACAGTATAGAATATACGGTAGCTTCACTTCTTTGCAATTGGCTGCATATAAGAAAATAGTTTACTAGCTGCCGTTTGCCATATCGTCAATCCTATTTGTCACACAATGTAATTTACTGACTGCCACTATGGTAGTCACATGCCTAATAAGATATGTGTGGCACAAATGATTCAATGGAGTGGCTCTACTGTATGTTCTCTATACTGTGGTCTTGGTAAATCTCTGTTAGCCTGCTCACGGGTCTTTCTTACCTTCAAATCAGGCTTCATCACTTTCACTTTGTTTGTTTCTTTTACATGGCATAACACAGCTCTTTGTTGTTTTACGACTTTCGTGGACAATGGAGTTCTTCTAAAAAGTTAAAATAACTGTACTTTTAAAGGTGTCTCCTAGAAGCAAGATTCTGTATTTTGCCAAATACCGACGAAATCTTGTCTTTCTAATGAAGAAACATTTTCATTTACTCCGTTTTATGAGCTTTCAATCTACTCCGAATCTTTTTCGTCTCATGTTTGAGTCGACTTTCTCTTTAGGTTATGAAATATTCTCTGAAGAAGCTGAATTATTTTTGAAGAAACAAGGATTCACACGAGAGTAAGTCAATTCCTGACGACATGAGTCTCAAGAACGCGGCGTTTAAATTAAAACCATAACGAAGCATTAGTGTTCTTACACTTTGTCTTAATTGTCTTCAACAGAGGTGGATCCGCTCCAATATGGATTTTCAAACTCGCGCTCGCTGTTATCTCGGGAATTATCGGAGCCTTTCTCGGCTTTCCTGGCATTAGAATATCAATAATGTTCTTGGATTTGATAGAGCAATACAAATCTAACAGGTTGCTTCTGTAAGTAAGAATACTTGTGTGACAAGTTTCTTCTATAAATATTATGTGTAGCGTTAATAACATTAAATATTCATCATAATTAAATTGTGTTTATGAATCCGCTTCACTTTGTTGTCATGTATTGAGATAATGGGTTTAATGTACGACCGCTGACCATTTTTTAAATTTTTAGTGTCCTTTTTTATGTAAATTTCTTCGCTCCTCTTTGTCTTGTTTTATTGTGGATCAAACCTTTGGCTCGCGAATACTTCACGAGCAGAAATAATTCATTTTCGTAAGTGAAGAAATTACTTCCCTCGTTCTTCTCATGTTTTTGAAGCTACTTTCTTAAACTAACGTTTGTGTATTTTATAGAGTATCGGACTCAAACTTTGATAACATTCGAATTGGAGTCATCTTACTTTGTTGTCTTATGCGGTTTTCCTTACCAAAATGCATCTACAGGCTTTCTTAGACATCGCAAAGTTAAAGTGAATAGAATGAAAGAAGCGGGCAGAACGAATAGTTCTGCTTTGCAAAAAAAGGTAGAAAATTTTTTTTGTTTTCTTCCTGACACTGTTTCTACTTAATTTACGATTTTGTGGAAGCCACATTTTGTGAAATATTTGTTCTTCGACGAATGGACTGCGATGAAACATATTTAATTTTGTTCGCTTCAATTTAAATTAAATGTTTGGATTTGTATGGAAATTCACAGTTTGTTACGAAATTAACGATTCGACATTTTACTACGCTGGTTTTCATTTTATTGAATTATTTAAGGCCACACGTGTAATTTTTCTTTACAATTAAAACGAATTTCCAAAAGTGAACAGAAAAATTTTGTACAATGCAAGAAGCAGAACAAAAACATTTAAGAATACTCGGAAGAAAAACATTTGGAAAGTGAGTTTTTTTCTCCACATTCTCTGCGTGTTTCTAAAATTCTATAGAAACAGGTTAAACGTTTTCTATTTCGTAAATAGAACATCAATGTTCCTCATGCATGTGTTGATGAATGCGTGCTTAGTTGCTCTGTTAGAATTTTATTTTCAACTATAAAAGAAAACAATTATTTCTTAAAGCTATATAAAACTATGCAAAATGGCGTCGTGGTAAGAGTATTTACACAATAAAGAAATGTAAATATCTCTAAAGAGAAGTAAATTAACATAATGAAACTGAACTAGTTGTTAAGTATTTTTAAATGATCGTTGCCATACAGTCAGAAAACTGTTAGGTAAATTTCTGTGTTAATATTATTAATTTGAGCTAATGTACATTTTCGCAATATCCTTCATTTTATAATGTTCACTTTCAAATATCGGTGTATTTTATGTATTTTTAGATTTTAGTGTTTTATTATTTATCTGTGGCTTTCTTCAATATTTGACTCCAGTTATCCTTTTGGTCTTTCTGACGATATCTTTAAGAACTGCAGGTACATATTGAGATTATTGGGTATACTGGGTAGTCTTTATTCATTCTTTAAGAGCTGCAGGTACATATTGAGATTATTGGGTATACTGTAGTCTTTAGTCATTCTTTAAGAGCTGCAGGTACATATTGTGATTATTTGGTGTACTGGGTAGTCTTTAGTCATTCTTTAAGAGCTGCATGTACATATCGGGATTATTGGGTGTACTGGGTTTCTTAGTCATTCTTTAAGAGCTGCAGGTACATATTGGGATTATTGGGTATACTGGGTAGTCTTTAGTCATTCTTTAAGAGGTGCAGGTACATATTCTTATTGAGTATACTGGTAGTCTTTAGTTTCGTTAAGAACAGCAGGTACATATTGAGGTTTATTGATGTTGTGAGTAATTTTTATTGGTTTTTAAAAATAACTAGCAATATTGAATTTATTGGAGAAGCTTGTTAGTTTATAGTACCCAAATCATTAACAATTCGTCGAATTCCAGCTACCTGGTCTCATGTAGTCAATTTCCAACTGTAGATTAAAGGGACCGCTGACCAGTTAGGACAAGAGCTACAGCCGCCCCTTTCCCCACAATAATTTCTACCTTCACTTGTAAACATTGCGAATGCGTTTGTTTTGAGATTGTAAAAGGATGGGCCTCCTTTCCCTTCAATAAAGATCTTCCTATGTCCCTTGGTTGTACGTACTTTGTTGCAAATAAAGTTTCCGTTATATTGTCGAAGACAGTTAGAACTAGTGTTATAAATGCATTTTCTTCACAGGTACTACCGACTGGGAGTCGACCAATGCTTTAATGAAACGTCTTCAGAAATCAATGCTCGTTTCAAATGTCACGGTGAACGCTGTTCAAAATCTACGTCACGTGTTCGTGTCGGAACTTGTCAGAGCTGTGACGTCATATTTCACGTGGTGGATATGCCTGGCGATGTTTATGACGTCTGCTTTGGTGTTGTCTATCATCAGGTGTTTTATGTATAGATGTGTACAGTGACGGTAAGAAATATGGTTATTTGTATTGGATTGGGATGGATTATGTTGTCGGAAGCTCTCGGCAGAATTAGTAGGTAACCGACTTGTTGGCAAATTTTATCATAGCTTACCTCAAATTTTATCAATCATAGTCTGGGTAATACAGTAATGCTCTGTAATGTCCGACTGGCCAATTTTGACGATTTTTGGCAAATTAGATTTTATAGATATTGAATACTATATGACGAATCGCCATGCTATAGTTATATTTTATCAATGAATATTGATGACTATCACAATCAATATTACTTTTGATTGTGTTCATCTACAACAAAATTTGAATGTCAATTGTTGTCTATTTGTTTCTGCTGCAGAGTTTGCTGTCTTTTTTGCAACTTCCTTTTATTATTTTGTACATTTGAGATATTTAACAATTAGATTACTAGCTCGAGATATTATGAGGTGATAGTTAATAATGGCGAAGCCTCAATCAACTCTACGTCGGTAGAAATCGAGAACAAATTCGTGAACGAACTCCTCTCGAATCTCTTTTCAAGTAAACAATCAAATTCATCGTATGACACTAAGTAAAACGCTAGACAGAAACCATAATTTTCTGCTACTTGCTATCTAATGAGAATTCAATAGGAAGTATAATAGCCAATCAAATTACAGCATTTGCTATAGAATAAGAGTAGGATTCTTGTAATTACCAAAATTACAAGCAATCCAATGGTTTATTAGTAGAATCATCTTAATATTCATGAAGAAAAAGGTTGCTAGTATAATTTTCATTAATTTATTGTTTTGTGCATATGTTGTTGACATCGCTATTAAAAGCGAACGAATGTTACTCGATACATATAAAGTTATTTTAAAGGAACTTTTTTATTTTATATTTAAATATCTTTAATTCGAATTTAGTGGCAACTTTACTCTTCTCTTGTATTGTCTTTCATCTAAACAATAAAATATATCGTCAGAAACCTTAGTAAAACGCGAGACAGCAGCCATGTTTTTTTGCTACCCGTTATCTCTTGCTTTGCTGCTTGCTATCTATGTAAAAATATATAGTGAGTAGAGTAGCCAATGAAATCAAAGCATTTGCAATAGAATATTAATATGAATCGACTAAATATGTTTTTTTTATGTATTGTTGTTAGTTATTACATTCAGAAAGTGTCAGGTACAATTTTACAACAAAGATAAATAGTTAAGCAAATAAAACAATCAAAGTCTGGAGCATTACTTATTGAAAGTTTTGAACTTTCTATCTGCAGTTAGTTGAAATATTTGTACGATACGTTACATGACTATGACTATAGCCATTTACACATGTATGTATAATCATAGTCGTACAACGTATCCTATACGTACATAATTTCAAATCGTAAATTGTGAATAAATATATAGCAAGCGTCACCTGCCGGTGAAATAATGCTCTTTGATTGGCTCAGAAAAATTTTTGGTGGCTATTACTTTTCTAAACGTCATTTGAAAAGAAATTGAACATATTACATTATGTAAACTGCCAAATTTTACATAATGAAAACGCTAAAAGCGAAACTATGAAACATGCAAAATGCGAGTCGGAGGTGAGCAATCAGAAAGCGAGTTTTATTATCCTCACTTTGCCTATTCATATTCCGACCATAATGTTAGAGTTAGGAAAAAAATGTCGCTCGTTATTTGTTAGGCGTTCTTTAATTAAGTTACTAATCTCCCCTCTGCCGACAGAAGGATTACATGTTTAATTTCTCTGTTTGAAGCTTCATCTCTCAATTTTGTGAAGACGTTAACTTTTTCCTAACTTTATGAGTATCGCATGATTTCAAAGTTCTCATTTAACAGACATTGGCACGAAAAATTGTCCTGTAATTCACATCACTGATGACGTGAGGCTCTCAATATACGTATTTTTAAAAGCTTTTGTACTCGACGTTCAAAAATACAGTCAAATTCAAAAACATATTTTCATTTAGAGCAGGGGGTCTCCAAACTTTACAGCCAGAGGGCCACATGAACTTTCATCAAGCATGTTGAGGGCCGACGAACCGTATACCGCTGGTCAAAGAGCGAATATTTTAATAAAACGAAGTACTTTTTAAAATAGACATGTTTCGACATCTCATGATGCCATCCTCAGTATAAGTGAAATAATAAATGATACAAGGTTTATATAAAAGTAATATGATACATAAATGACAACAATAAAAAGGAACAGAAGATACATTTGCGACTCTTCGCGCCATTTATCCACCAGAATCAGGGAACATACTACAACAGACAAAACTCTCATATCTAACCCACACCTTCTTGCCTCAAAATGCCTATTCACCCCCTTGCCTCAAAATCATCGACACTACCGTCACCTCATTCTCCCTTAAAATCAAAGATGCACTCCACATCAACAAAAATAAACCTGACCTCAATGTTCAAGTTTTTAAATTCAATACAATGTTTAGTTTATAATACGCTCGACGCTCCCCTTAATTTTATCTTAATTCCTTTTATTGTTGTAATTTATGTATCATATTGCTTTTATATAAACCTTGTATCATTTATTATTTCACTTATACTGAAGATGGCATCATGAGATGTCTAAACATGTCTATTTTAAAAAAACTTGTCACGTATATTAAATGCGCAAAACGAAGCACATCACACAAGCTTCATTAGCTAAGAAAATATTTATTCAAAATTTAAAGGTTAAATTTCAACCAAGTGTAATATCATAACAAAATCACAATTAGTCTGTTCAGTTTTCTCAATGTGAGTGGTGAAATTGGCTTCTTAAGTGTCTCTGCGGGCCGGATTGAGAGTCCCAACGGGCCGTAGTTTGGAGACCCCTGATTTAGAGGACTAGACTATACACTAGTCAGTAGTAGTGTACAACAATTTATCTCATAAAGAGACTGGTTATATATATAGTCTGATAAAAGAACAAGGGGAGATTGATGACGTTTCACTGAAAGAAATTAAGTAGCTGTAATAAACGTTTGCTTAAAGACTCAAAACTTACTTTAATCATGAATTTTGTAAAGTTTTTACCAGCTTTAATCCCAAAGTAATAAGGTCCAGAAGATTCTTTGAGATTGTATGTTATTTTTCTTCTCAAAGAAGACAGGTGAGGACTGACTATAAAATCTTTTGTTGTTTTTTTAAAGTAAGCGGCGGGTGAGATTCGCATGCATTTTAAATGAAAGTTGAAATTTCATTATCGTACTTGTTGAATCATTTTATTGAATTTAATACGATTTGTGCTTATTTAACATAAACTACAAATGACAAACGTTGAGATGTCGTTCGTCCCTATGTTTCACTTGTGCTTCGATCTTTTACATTTTTTTATACTTTTACTGTTTTAAGTGCAATGTTTGCATTAAATACATGATGATTGGTGTTTTGAATTCTGGATACGTTCTTGTGATTAAGTTATGGAAAAATTATATTAAGTACAATTTTAAATCAGAGCTACTTAACAACGACACAGAATAGAAATATACAGAAGGGTCACTCGTGTTGGAACCTTGATGTTTTTGTCCAGCCGGTTGATAAGGGTTTTTTACTCGCTCTCAACCTTTGCAATTATCCGAAAGTCTTTTCTTAATCTCAAATTCATTATTCAATAATGAAGTAATGTAATTATGATGGTTGAAAACAAGTTATAAACCCTAATCATCTGGCTGGAATAATGGCCGAAATGAGGACGCGCTATGTACACCTGAGTGACCCTTATTCTGTGACAATCATTATTCTGTGATAATGACATCAAAATGTCTTTCTTTATCCTCCAAAAGGTTTTTCAAAGCCATTTTCTTGGCACCAATTCTCGAAGGAATCTTTGATATGTTCGATCAGCTTTTCCATTCGTTCTGCGTTTTGGTTTTTTTCTGCGCTTTTGGATTCCTCTTCTCCTTCGGATTCCTCTTCTCTTTCGGATTCCTCTTTGCTTTCGTATTCCTCTTCGCTTTCGGATTCCTCTTCGCTTTCGGATTCCTCTTCGCTTTCGGATTCTTTTGCGTAAACTCTGATATATCTGTCCTGGAAACTTCGTGGCAACATTTCACTTACTTGTTCTCTCTTTATTTCAAATGGTTTGCGTTGAGATTTATCGAAAAACATCACAGCCTCAACTGGATTTTTACCCTTCATTCCAAAATTGATCGTTACTTTTGAAACAAATATATTTTCTCTTTTCAACTCTCCTTCCGATAAGTTAACCAAGTCTTCGGCAATTTTTATTTCGCAGAGAGATTCGAACTTCGATTGTAGTTTACTTTTTTTGTCGTCATTTGATTTTAGAGAGCTTTGGCCGCAAAATTTGTACAGCTTTCGTTTTTGTATGCGTCTTATCTTCTTCTTTGCGTCTGCGAAATCAGGGTCCCTGTTTCGCAGTATATCGTAGAGAATGCTATCTGTTAAAACAGAATATTGCTTCATATTTTTTTCTTTTTTGGCTTTTTCCACTGATTCGGAAATTTTCATGACTTTGTCAACTTTCTTGAACGCCTTATATAGCAGGTCTTCTATTGGTGCCTGAGTTTTGTGCTTGTAAACTCTGTGATGGAGGGACCAACGGGTGTGGAATAATTCATACAAGTTAAACACCTCTTTGTCGCGTACACAGATCTGAAGTTGTTGGTTATTAGGGTTAGACATGATGCGAACATTTTGAAAGTAGCGTCGATGGTCAAAAGTACATTTCACTCCAACATTAGCGCAGTCACGGGCAAAATAATCAAACTTGTCACAGTCGATACCATTTCGTTTGTTTGACACGATTTCATAAAGAAACCATTTTGGTTGACCTGTAAATGGACATATCCTTTCTACCTTTTCGTCTTCTTTGTTGGGGTCTTTACCTGCATACAACGAGAATTTATAAAGTCTCGGGCGACTGTAATATAAATGTGGAGTTGTGTTACTGGAATAATAATTTGGGAGGAATAATAAATAATGAAAGTAGTCAGTAATAAGAAACCTGAAAGCCTTATCAACGGGATGTCAATTTTTTGTTATTTCAGAATTATATCAGACAAGAAAGGAGAAATTTGATGGAACAAAATCTCAACTCAATGAGGATAAAGTTTCATTTTTCTTAGAGAGAGTGCGCCATCATTTTGATAGCTACTTTAGAAAATGAACAGACAGCAGTGACAGGCTTCAGACATTAAGATTCAAATGGGAATTCAGAATCAAAGCGTATCAAAATCAAATAATATTTGTGTCTGTAATATTAGGTGTTTCTTATTTTATACATTTCAAATGAAAAAGCTTTGTGGACTATGTAGGTAACGATCCCTGCGTTTGGCAATACCTTTGATAAGTTCCTTGAATTTTTTCTCATCCTCTCCAAGTCGAAAATCTTTAAAACTCTGCCTAAGTTCTGAGTTTTCTCGAGCATGAAATCAAAAGTTTGCAAGACGCATCCTCATGTTCCCACTCCAAATCAGGTCTTAGCCTTTTGATGTATACACCATCAAAGAAATGAGAGAAAGGTCCATGGCCAAGATCATGACAAAGTCCGGCTATTTTGATACAAATGCATTCTTCATCTGTGATCTCAACCTCTCCACGATGAAGCTCTTGTAGTTTATCAATCAATATGCCACACAAATAAGAGGTTCCAAGAGAATGTTCAAACCTGTGTGAAATCAAAATTTTAAGGTGAATATTTATTCTGGTTTGAACATCCTCGATTACATCGATCATGAATGAGATCGCATGACATTTTAGTATCAATAACTATACCTAGTGTGAGTTGCTCCAGGGTAAACGAAGTCACAGATTCCCAACTGCTTGATATCTTTCAAACGCTGGAATTGTGGTGTGTTGATAATTTTGACCAACAAAGGATGAAGCTCGATGAAGCCATGAATTGGATCGTTGAATATCGTTTTTCCAACTGGCTTGTTTCATTCGTTGCTGTTGCACGATCTCCCATATCCTACATTTATTGAAAATTTAAAATAAAGCAAATTACTTAGATGGCTTTAGTTTCATTTAAAGTAATAAACCTTGGCTTCCGTCGTTTCTGTTCTCCTACCTTCTCGTGATCTTTGGCTTTAAACACAACATGTTCAAACCCATAACTTAAATGTGTATTTTTAAACAATTAATTATAAAATGTGCACTGACATGTAGCTTACCTTATAAGGAAGCAACCTTATAAGGAAGATTATCTAGACAAATCTTACAGACAGCAATGTGAATGAAAGAAAGTCATAAATGTTGGCTTTGGGATTTAATTCCGAGTCTTTATATAAATTTGCTTGGATTTTTATTTTGAAGTAGTTCTTGTGGTAGAGAAGAAAAGGGTGGGCGGCGTTGGTTTCTGAGTAGAATAATTTCAATATGTGTTATTAAACACAGCATTTTAAACAATAAATTATATATCATGTACACTGACAAATATCTTTCGACATATTTCATAGAATGAACACCTTATTCTGATGCAAAAATAACAATGTTCCTTTAAGCGGTCTTAATGCGCGTGTTTGTTTTTTTAGCAAATTTTACGTAACCCAATGATTAATCAGCGAATTTTGCAATATTTTCTTTCTAAATCTATCGATTCATGTTGCATGTCAATATTGCATATTGATTGTTGCCGCAGTTATTATTCATTTTAGCCATGTAAATTTCAAAACACTTTCAAACGACTTAGGGATTAGGTAGATTTTGAACCTCTAATAGCGCAGCAAAAGATTTATCCTCATTTGAAAATATGTGTAAACAAGGCAATACAATGTCAGTAGTGGAAAGTTTTGTATTAGCAGACGATATTTGTCATCACAACATTGACAAGACCAAAGAGTTTATGAGTCTAGAACAAAATTTTCCAATATGTTCTTCTACTAATCTTAGTTTTAATTTGTAATCGATTAGTTTTTTGTTATTCATAAATTGTTGGAATTGTTAAGGCACGTTGATGAACGGGTTTAATTTTTTATAAAGTTTAGCATAGTAAAACCGAAGACTGCAATTTCACTTTTCATTAACGATTTGGAATCATCAAGCATATTCAATATCATGCATTTTAGATGTTGCGGAACTTTCTGTGTGTTTAACAGAACAGTTATATACGTGAAAAATTTTCATGGTACATCATAATAACTTTATCTTCTCGTTTTAATCGTTTATATGTTCTGGTGATAACAGGTATCGTCTTTTCTGTACGAGAATTTCACATTATGACTTGAGATAAATTATGTTACTGCATATATGCAGCAAACCAAAAAATATCTGAAGAAATTTTCAGCCAAACTTGTTGCTGGAAGTTGCCTCCTATTGGACAAAGCCTTCCTATGGTTTCGTCTTTGAAAATTCTTGTTTCTCATCTTGAAGCGTTCTCGATGAGATTGAACCAATAAATTATTTGCTGGGAGGATTTTTCACGCGTGCGCCATAAAAACAATGAAATGTAGGAAAATAGAACTACGCTTTATTATAATTGCTAAAACATTTTGGATTGTTTCAAAACCAGTATTGCCGATTGCCGAGATTCTGTTGCATATGCCTAAAATTTTTCATTACAAAGTTTTCTAAGGTAGCTATAAAAGAAATATAAATTAAACACAACAATTCAAATCTAAATCTTACATATATCTTAATTAAATATTAAACGTGCAGTGGCAGGTAGCCTACCTTAAAACGAAAATTTCTGTTTATATTGAAAATTAAATAGATAAATCTGCTGCCATATATCAATGTAGATCTAAAAAAGTTGTAGATCAATGCAGTGAATTTCTGTATTTGTTGTTCAAATGTGTCTGGTGTATAGGTGTATATGTGTTCTTTCAAATTTTTAAATCTTTTAGTGCGGGGTAATACGAAAGCCGGAATTTTTGCATTCAAACGACGTTTTAAAAACATAAAATAACGTAGAGTTAATGAGTTCAGTAATAGTTGCTAGCTTGAAGAAAATTATTTTGTCGTCGGCATTTTCTTCCAATAAAAGATAGTACATCTGATAAAATTATGGATTTATATCTATGGCAACTCCCTGTGCTCACATTTTAAAGTAAATTTCTTTTGTGCGTGAGCATGAAAGAACAAACTTATCGCGGAAGTTTTTCTCCTAGCAGCTGTTCCGATTTCAAATACTTTTCTAGTTGTTTACTCAACGTAGCGTCAACGAACCTTCTTTGTAGCTGATGAAACAGGTTTTTCTTTGCGAGGCGGTGTTATCAAGTTAATCTTTTCGAGAAAACACTCACATGATACAATTGTCTTACTTGTAATGTACATATACAGGTAGCACTCTCGTATTGAACCGACCATACATGTTGTCTTCCCAACATAAAGGAGAACTAATATCATGAGTTCAACAATACTTGAACGAAATCATTTTCTTCCGTATGCATTTTCTTCCATAGAAATAAGTACATTTAACGAATTTATCGGTGTTCGTTCAAATCAACAACAATTTTTGTTCTCCATATTTTGTCTGTAATCATAAACTACTAAAATGATCACGAACTATTTTTGTAGCAGCTGTTCCAATATCAGAACATTTTGTCGTATTTCAAAAATTTAAAATTTATTTTGAATGAGCGATGGGAATGAAGGTTTCTGATTGCAGTTCAACTATTTAAGATAGAATTCAAAAGACGAAGGTTTCTACATATTTTGTTATGTCTGAAGTAAAACAAAGGTATGATAAAATATTCTCAACAAAAACGCTTCGCGACGAGAAGCGAGAGCTGGCGCCGGCAAAATCAAATGAAATATTTAGACTGTGTTCAAAACAAGACAAGCTCCTGTCAGAATTTTTCACTGAAATATCTTTTGCCAGTTTTATCGTTTATTGCATTTTGCTTTTATTTTGTTTTTTTTGAGGCAATGAATCCTTTTCATCTGGTAAATGCTAAATTCTCATCACGACACTTTCATTATATAAAGAATAAGAAATAATTTCACACACCTTCTACTTAACTATGTCTTATCGTTTTTATATGAAGATCACTGACGTTTATATTTGTTCACCAAACACAAGCTCCGTGTAATCTTCTCTCTGCAACTAAAACGATTGAAAGATAACAAACAGACTCGCCCTTTCTTTATTTGCCTGGTAGAGATCACGTGCATACACAAAGCGAATCTGTTAACCAATAAATTACTTGCTTTGGTGATTTTTCACTCATGCGCTATAAAAACAATGAAATGTAAGAAAAGAGAACTATGCTTTCCTGTAATAGACCGCTCTGAAATGGCATCAACACATGCGCACAAAAGCAAGTTACAAAAGCAAAGTGGCTAGCAAGTGTAAATTAGCTGCAAAAGAGACATTGCACGAATGAAGATTTTTCGTGATTTTGTGCCGGTCCATGAAAACATGCAACAAATTCCACTTTTCATTCCGGTTTCACTTCTTTCCGGTCTCATGTAAACAAAGCCTTATACTGTACTGAAGTTCAAAACTATATTCGTATTCAAAATAATTGTAAATCGGCCACTACAATAGTCAGTTTCAGGAAGTTCTTTTTTGTTGAATCGATGTTGTTGGTATTCACCACAAAATGGATGAGAACACCCAATTGAATCCTTGACGAAAATTGTTTTCTTGCCGGCATTTCTCTTTCGATGTAAAAATGATAACTCTGACAAATTTTATTACAGCCAAAGTTCATGTGAGCTCCGCGTTTTAAAATTTTTCTGCAAATTTCTTTTGTCTCTGAGCACAAAAGTACAAAGTTTTTTTCGCAGTTTCCGTTCCGATTTGAAAACGTAAATTTTAGTTTATATTTATTCTATATATGCAGATGACTTCTTAATTTGCATTTTTCATACTAATTTTGACATAGTAAACAGTTTGGCTTCTATAAGAAATGTCAAAGTCATCAGACGTAGAATGCTCAATTTTGTTCAATGTGCAAAAAGAAGAGAAAGTGTAACTTTTGTGAAGATGAAGTTTTAATTCTACCCGAAATGATCACATCTTAACGATCTAATCATCATTTTTTTGTTATCGGCATTGAAAGGTTTCCAAAAAGTTATTTTGAATACGTCACTGATAAGGTAACTTACACCTTCGAAAAGAATATTGTTGAATTACTTAATTGTCAGCTTTTAACCTATATAGATCGAAGTAACGATGAACAATATTTTTTAATTGTGTCTAGGTTTTAGCAAAATAAATAATAGCTGTTAATTTTAAATTAAAAGTACCTCCTTTACAATGTCATTGGTGATAAATATTCATTTAGTAAAATCTAACCAATCAATACACATTTGTTTATTTTTCTGACCGCTAAATCTCCAATGTTGGTAAAAATGGTAGAAATGACACATAGCCACGAATCAATGAAACATTTCTTCAGTCACGATAATCTTTTACAAAATTTAGTCTTTTTGCAGAACTTTCTTTACAATTTTGGAGATTTATGTTCTTATTCACGTTAGCTATGTTGATTTTAAGAACTATGTAGTCTTGCAATGGCTAAAGTTCATAAAAAACATGCAAATTTAAAAATATTTTAGTGCGGGGTAATACGGAAGCCGGAAGTTTTGCATTCAACCGACTTTTTAAAACATAAAATAACGTAGAGTTTATGAGTTTAGTAATAGTTTCTAACTTGAAGAAAATTATATTGTTGTCGGCATTTTCTTCCAATAAAAGGTAGTACATCTGATAAAATTATGGATTTATATCCATGGCAACTTCCTGTGCTCACATTTTAAGTAAATTTCTTTTGTGTGTGAGAATGGAAGAACAAATTTATCGCGGAAATTTTTTCCTAGCAGCTGTTCCGATTTCAAAGACTTTTCTAGTAGTTTATTTAACGTAGCGTCAACAAACCTTCTTTTGTAGCTGGTGAACAAGGTATTTGCGTTGCGACGAGGTGTTATGAAGTTAATCTTTTCGAGAAAACACTTGATACAAGTGTCTTATTTGTAATGTACATATACAGGTGGCAGTCTCGTATTGAACCGACCATACATGCTGTCTTCCCAACATAAAGGAGAACTAATATCATGAGTTCAACAATACTTGAAAAAATTATTTTCTTCCGTATGCATTTTCTTCCAATAAAATAAGTACATTTAACGAATTTATCGATGCTCGTTCATATCAACTACAATTTTTTTGTTCTCCATATTTTTGTTTGTGATCATAAACTATTAAAAGGATCACGAAATTTTTTTGTAGCAGCTGTTCCAGTTTCAAAATAATTTTGTCGTACTACAAAACTTAAAATTTATTTTGAATGAACGATGGGAATGAAGGTTTCTGTTTGCAATGCAACTATTTAAGATAGAATTCAGAAGACGAAGGTTTCAATAATATTTATTTTGTTATGTCTCAAGTAAAATGTCAATAAAACAATGGCATGATAAAGTACTCTCAATAAAAGTGCGTCGCGACGAGAAGCGAGAGTTGGCGCTTACAAAATCAAATGAAATATTTAGACTGTGTTCAAAACAAGACAAGCTCCAGTGAGAATTTTTCACTGAAATATCTTTTGCCTGTTTTATCGTTTATTGCATTTTGCTTTTATTTAGTTTCTTTGAGGCAATGAATCCTTTTCATCTGGTAAATGCTAAATACTCATCACGACACTTTCATTATATAAAGAATAAGAAATAACTTCACCCACCTTCTACTTAACTATGTCTTATAGTTTTATATAAAGATCACTGACGTTTATATTTCTTCACCAAACACAAGCTTCGTGTAATCTCTCTCTCCAACCAAAAGGATTGAAAGATAACAAACAGACTCGCCTTTCTTTTTGCCTGCTAGAAATCACGTGCATAGGCAACGCCAATATATGAACCAATAAAATAATTGCTGGTGATTTTTCACGCATGCGCTAAAAACAATGAAATGTGTCAAAATGGAATTATGCTTTCTTATGATCGCTTTAACATTTGGATTGTTTGAAAAGCAATAGTGCCGACATTCTGTTGCATATGCCTAAAGTTTTTCATTACGAAGTTTGTAAATGTAGCTGTAAGAGAACTATAAATTAAACACAACAATTTCTAAAACACGACAACACACAAATCTTCATTAAATATTAAACGTGCAATGACAGGTGGCCCACCTTAAAAGGAAAATTACCGTACGTGGAAAATTAAATAGTTAAACCAGCTGCCATATATCGATATAGATATAAGTAAATCTATGATCAATGCAGTGAATTTCTGCATTTGTTATTCAACCGTGTCTTATGAATCTGTGAGCCTGTAGGACCAAAACATTGCGTTCCTTTCTATAGGAACTCTACTTGATCTATTAAGGTTCCTTCGAGATTAGTATAAAGGATATGATAATTAAGGCTGCATTCGGAATACGTTTCAAAGAAACAAATAACAGCTGTATTATGGTCGCTAAATTTATGACCATCTTCTCAGTAAAGTTTAGAGGGTTGAGGAAAGCATCCGTTTGAAAGTCCGGCAAATTTATTTGCTATTTTATCTATTCTCTGGCTTCGCCTTTCTGCCTGTTGTTGCAGCACTATAACATTAGAATTTTTGACTGTTTTTATCTCAAAAGCTTTGTTGTTTCGGCATACTTCATGCCATCTTCTATGCGAAGTGAATAAATAGAATGGTTATAAGACATTTAAAATAGACGACAAATTTTTTTATAGCAAACATGTTTCGGCATACTTAGACACGGCTCACACAGCTTACCATATAAGAAGCAACCTTATAAGGAAATTTATCTAGACAAATCTTGCATACAGCACTGTGGATCAAAGAAAATCATAAATGCTGGCTTTGTGATTTAATTCGAGTCTTTATATAAGTTTGCTGGGATTTTTATTTTGAAGTAGTTCTCGTGAAAGACAAAAAAGGGTAGAGCGTCGTTGGTTTCTGTGGAGAATAAATTCAAGATGTGTTATTAAACACAGCATTTTAAACAATAAATTATAGATCATGTACAATGGCAAATATCTTCCGAAATTTTTCTTAGAATGGACACCTTATGCTGCTGCAAAAACAACAATCTCCCTTTAAGCGGTCTTAATGCTTGTGTTTGTTTTTTCAGCAAGTTTTACGTAACTCAGTGGTTAATCAGCGATTTTGCAACATTTTCTTTCTAAATTTATCGATTCATGTTGCATGTCAATATTGCAAATTCATTGTTGCCGCTTTATTATTCATTTTAGCAATGTAAACTTCAAAACACTTTCAAACGGATTAAAGGCTAGGTAGATTTTGAACCTCTAAATGGCCCAGCAAAAGATTTATCCTCCTTTGAAAATATGTGTAAACAAGGCAATACAATGTCAGTAGTGGGAAGTTTTGTATTAGCAGACGATATTTGTCATCACAACATTGACAAGACCAGAGAAATCATGAGTCTAAAACAAATTTTCCAGGATGTTCTTCTGCTAACTTTAGTTTTTAATTTGTAACCGATTCGTTTTTTGTTATTCATAAATTGTTGGATTTGTTAACGTACGTTGATCAACAGGTTATAAATTTTTATAAAGTTCATCATAGTAGAAGGAAAGCTGCAATTTCAGTTTTCATAAACTATTTGGAATCCTCGAGCATATTCAATAACATGAATTTCTGGGTATTACAGATCATCTTTGACTCGCCTGACGCCAAGGATGTTGCATTGTTAATTTTATCTTGTTGGTTGAAAATTAGTAGATGTGTTTAACAGAAAAGCTATATAACTTGCAAGAAAAACTTTTCATGGCACAATAAATTGGTGCAGCAAACCAAAAAATATCTGAAGAAATTGTCAGCCAAACTTGTTGCTAGAAGTTGCTTCTGATTGAACAAAGCCTTTACGATGGTTTGTTTTTGTGGTGTACTCCTACATGTACGGGCTAACATTTTAAGGGGAGCAATTTAAACATTTTTAATCTGAAATGGCTTAATTCACCAAACTTTCCTGCAAATAATGCCTTTCTAGCTTTGTCTGCCCAAGGTTTTAGGTGCCTACTCCACCTAATATGCATATGGGAATATTTTAGTCATGTTTGGAGCTTTGCACTCAGTCAACTGGTCTTATAAACTTAACCATTTCTTAATCCCCTCCCTTCTTGCTTTGTCTGCCCAAGGTTTTAGGTGCTTGCTCCCACCTAACATGCATATGGGAATACTTTGTCATGTTTGGAACTTTGCACTCAGTTAACTGCTCTTATAATCTAAACCATTTCCCAATCCCTCCCTTAGAAATAATACTATACATCATAGAAAATTCATCTGGATTTGGCTTTTTACTTTTAGGCACTGTTTGGTATAAAAGTTGTCCTAACTTGATGGTAGCATTGTTTCTTCACAAATTTTCACCATATGTTGCTGGCCACTTGGTTATTATGCAGTGGGTATGTTGTCTCAGGTGTTTGTCTTTGACATTTTCTGTTGTAATTTTCACATATGTCTTTCCTTAGATTGGTACGTCATGTACCACCCTCTGACACAGAGTTGAGAAAACTCCTTGGTAAAACACAAAGAACAAAGTCAAATAAAGCTAAGCGTTCTGATGCAAGGTATTATTTATAAAGATTTGTTTTCACATTTTGTCGTTGCATTTCATTGTTTCTTTTTTACATTGTTACTATTGCTACACTTTCGGTACACATTTTGCGATATATTTTTGACATTTTATAAGGGCCTGTACAGTATGATATAGCTTTTTCAATATATCTTACCTTGTATATTATTTCACTTTGTTTTAAAAATTATCTTCATGTGAAGAATGGTCCAGTCTGGCTTGGCAAGATTTCCCCCAAATGAAGCAGTTTCTCCTCATTAAAGGTCTTATTTGAAAGCATAAAATGGGCTTGCCTGGCTTAACTGGGCTGGAAGTGAGGAGACTGTGCATGCTGTTGTTTCACATGTTTATTCTAATATGGCGGCTAATTCAAAAGCGACAATGATCATTTGAAAAATAAGTTTAAAAGTTTTATCTAATTATGCTGCATTGTAGCTAGTAGCATCATGATTGTGGTTTCAAATCAAAAAAATCGTGGAATGTTCAAGTTTAAACACATTCAAATATTGGCACAAAATGCAACAAATTAATATTTGAAAATGTTGGAATGTGCAAGTCTAAACACATTTGAACTTTAGCACAAAATGGAACAAGTATTGACAACATTTTAGAAGGGGGATTGACAGCATTTTAGAAGAACCAGCCTGTCTTATACAACTTCAAATACATATTAGCCTCTGGCAAACTGGCCAGCGCAGCCAAACTGGGTTTGCCTTTCTTATATGAACAGGCTCTTACAATTGATCTGTTATTCTCTTGTCATCTTGTCCAGGCTAAAATCAGCATAAACTAAACAGTTGTTATTCATAAACACCGTTAATGTTTCTCTTTTTGTTCTGTAGGAAAAAGGAAGAAAATAATGGAGCATCAATTCAATTTATATCTTCTGAGCCGTTATCCATACCTTGCAACATGAACATTCAACTGAGAACAGTGAATGTAAGATTGCTTTTCAATACCTGAAGTATATTTCAAATTTGTCTCATTTTAAAGTGCATATGACCTCATCATGGGGTTTTATTAATTCCGACACATCTCAAATAGTGATTTGACAACTTTAAGAAAATGTGCATTTCCAAAGCTCTCGTGGTTCAAAGACATATTTTGAAAAAAATGGGTGAACCTTTTTGGAATGGAACACAAGAATATATAAATATGCGTTGAACTTATAATACAATATACTTTTCTTGTACCTATGCACTGTTTAAAAAGTTATAAACAAAACATACTTTGCAAAAAATCTATTACAACGCATAATTTACAACATAATTTCTACATTGTTGTTGAAAGTGCATTTCTGGGATCCAGGACTTTGGGTGCGCCGTCGTTTTCTGATCCTGTACCTGAGTTATATTATTTTTGATATTTTTTTTGTATGTAGAAAGTATTGTAGAAGTTGTCAACTAACTTTTTGAGGACTGTTAGAATCAATAGCCCCAAAATGTGGTCATAAGCAGTGTCTCTTGTATCAGTGGTTTATTCAGTCTTTGCGTGTATATACAGGGGTTGTATTATTGTAAGAATCGGGGTAAAGTCTTTCTTGTTCATTGAGCATATGATTTTGAGGCAGGGGATGAGGTTTTGTTTCATTGACGTAAATTATGAATGCGACTGTGATTGATAAACTGTTCAATCAGAAATTGCTTGCCCGAATTTGAAAAAAATTCGGATTTTGTTGTGCTGTCAATCACAAGATTACATGCTAACATGAAGTCCTTGTACTAAAGAAATCTGTCTTGGTAGTTTCACGTGTAAGTAATAAAACGTATAATGAAACATTATTTACCTACATAATACATTGCCATATGTGAGATTACATTGCTGTGAATTTTGTTGTGCAATTTGACAACTATATTATAATACTCAAATATGACCAAACTCTGGTCTCAAGCAGGACGAGTGAACGCCCGATAGGCGTCTTGCATGTCTTGTTGCTTGCAGACAACCAAGAATATCTTCATTCATTTACTGGAGGGGGGGGAGGTTGTACTTAGCTTCGAAAGCACTATCCACTGCATATTGGCTATTTTAAGTGTTTTAAAATAGGGTTGTTATTGTTTCACAAAATAAAACTATGTTTTCATGTTATAAGTGTTAAATGGTTTATTGTATTGATTGTCGTCTTTAAATAGTAGTTTTTCTGCTTTTAAAGAGAAATTTAAAACAAACGTGGTTTTCTTATATGGTGGAAAACACTATCTAACTTTTCTCCCACAAGCTCCAATGACAATAGTCAAAAAATAGCTACATTCCACAACTTTCAACATTGTCTATATGTAATAAAACTCTTGCACCATCCCTCTTTCATTCGAGTTATTGAAAGATGACTACCCCCAGTATATACCCCATTACATCATAACTTCAATCTTTCGGCATAGTAAGTAGATGTGTAATGAAATTTTGTAACGCCCCCCTTTCTTTTCATGTATTTGAAGATGACTACCCCCCTGTAAATATGCCATAACGTTATAACCTCAAGCTTTCATTATTGTCGATATGTACTGAAACTTTGCACCATGCCCCCTTTCTTTCGAAGTATTGAAAGTTGGAAACTCCCCCCCTCCCCCCTCAATAAATACACTATAAAATTATATTGTAAAACTAACATAAAACACTTTCCCATTAGGTTGATGAAACAGATTTGATATTTCAATGTTATTATACAGAATACAAGTGGCTCGTTGATTTTGCTGTGTCTGCCGTGATATTCAATATCATCATCGAGGGGATTTCGTGTTTATTTCCCGCTCTTTTACGTAACGACATCAGTGTGACGCCATTATGGAATTTCTTGGGCATATTTTTTGCCATGTATCCTTTTTAATGAAACGAAAGGGATCTTAAGCTTGACTTAATGTCAGCCTTGAAAACGAGTCGGCCTGATTGCTGACTTTCAGTCTTCAAAGTCGGCAAATTTATGCTGACCTTTCATTTTATTGCAGTAAAATCCGCGATATTTTTGTTCATCGTGTACTGTAAAACCTTTCTAACTGTTTGAAAATTGAGTTAGACATTGCGCGTTCTAAGCACTCAGGCTAATCAAAAGCTCGTCAATTATGAAGGCAAACTGCTATGGTGGAAGTTCGGACATTCGTTTCGTTTTCATTAAGTTTGCAAATTATCAAAATTGTTATCAAAATGTTATCAAAAATTTTGTGACCGAGAATTGACATTAGAATATTTTTTGCATATTTTTCCGGGTTCTAACTTGGTAACTTGGGTGTTAACTCGACTTATGGATGGTTGGTTCTGTACAAATGCGATATTTTAGGTTAAGTTTGCAACCAAACATTCCGACATAAAAATTGCCAGCAAAGTTTGGCATTTCTTTCGCCGATCTTACTTTCGTCTTTTCTCGTGCTTCAAGCATTTATGTAAACACTCACAAAGTTCCGTGGTCAGTTCTTAAAGATTAAAACACACGAAGTTCCGTGGTCAGTTCTTAAAGCTAAACACTCACGAAGTTCCGTGGTCTGTTCTTAAAGCTAAACACTCACGAAGTTCCGTGGTCAATTTAAAGCTAAACACTCACGAAGTTCCGTGGTCAGTTCTTAAAGTTAAACACTCACGAAGTTCCGTGGTCAGTTCTAAAGTTAAACACCCACGAAGTTCCGTGGTCAGTTCTTAAAGCTAAACACTCACGAAGTTCCGTGGTCAGTTCTTAAAGCTAAACACTCACGAAGTTCCGTGGTCAGTTCTTAAAGATGGTCGTGCAGTGTAAATATTTCTGTGTTTACTGACTGCAAAAGCACAAGATTTCTATAGAAATAAAGAATCATCTCAAATGTTCATAACAGGACCAAACTTGCTGACTCGCCACTTATCACAGAATCAAAGATTGATCCACGAGGAGTTTTTGCGGCTCTTCGATTTATTGAGCGGAAGGCGATTGCTGATTGTTGAAAATCTCT